CGCAGCGGTGAGGAGAGTTAGATTGTGAGCCTAATATCGTCCGGCACGCCCTGAAGAAATTTCATATTTACTATCTCTTCTCTGACACGCCAAGTTGAATAGCCACCTGTTGAATACTACTGAGGTAGACAGATGGTTTTTGATCCATGAACTTGCCTTCGATTATGTCTGACGTAAAGCTGCGGTTTTGAGTCTCGCTGAAAATGTGGATGAGTTCCTTTTTCATTTTTTCAAAGTCTTCCTCAGTGGCTGCTTCTTCTGAGGTTCAATACATCCAGTGTGTACCAAAATTTGTGTAGCAGAAGTTGGCACCCCATTTTGAACTGCCCTTCTCCTTGTAGGAACCATCCATTGACGTTCAAACAGTTGCATTTGGGGATCCTGACTGCTACATGTGCTGCGAACACATTGTCCAGCTGCTCTTCTGGGACTTCCGCGGCGGAGATGGATTCATTCGTGGCGATAGCAGCGGTATATATGGTTGGCGTAGGTGACGGCGCTGTTTGTAGGCTCCATGCATCTTCTTATCAGATCCACAACTGAGTTGTGAAGAACGACTTTGTAGCAGAAGGAAATGGTGCCTTTGGAAGTCAATATTGTCTTCACTGAGCAGTGGCTCGTATCGGATATTTAAACTTCTTGGTTTTGACATTATAAATCTTTTCTATCGAACCACACCCTATCAGTCATGAAGAAATAACTGCAGGAAGTAGTATCAAAAATCTTCAAGATTGGTTCTTTTAGCAATAAAACAACGTGATGCAACGTTCACTTTTACTTATCAATTACCGAAATGAACCGTTCTTTTATTACAAATGAACAGTAAATACTCAATAATGTAATATCTAGAAAACTTCCCTGGCGGTAGGAGTGAAATTGTTCTTATGGTCAAGGATATTTTTTGACTCGAAAATACACAAATGTTGATTAGAAGATAAACTCGTCCTTCCCGTTGAGTTTAGCTAGACATTTTTCTTGACGATTCTGTACGGGATTATTCGTTCAACTTCGATGCCTAACAATATCTGCCATACTGATGCCCTAGAAATAAATGCAAACCAACAATAATTTAATATTATCAATTTTGTTTAATAATCTTGAAAATGCTTCATCGCGAAATTATTCATTTCTTAATAGCAAAGCCGTTTCGGTAGCCGTTTCATCCATAGGAATGCCGAACCATCATCATCAGTCGTAATGCGTACGCTTCCTTTGTATCTTGATTTCGAGGACGAAGACCAAAAAGGCGATTGTGACACCTGTGTGGAAAATGGTTTTCATTTTGTTATATTGTGAATGTGAAATTTACGAAGCGTAACTCATGTTAACTTTTCGTAAAAGCAGTGTCAACAATCATTCAAAACTTTTTCCTATCACCTTAAGATGCAGGCATAGAACATAGCTTTATGATTATGTAGTAAAGCTCTAACCTACCATCAAATCAAATTTACGTTCACATAAATAATTATTTAGTGCCGAGATAGTAAGTGGGACCAATTTAATTTTTTAATCAGGTAGATATTAAAAAAGCACTTCTGCGCGGAATCGACGCGCTCATACATGTTCATTCATGAAATCGGTGCGATTCACTGATATTCATGGCCGGGCTGCAATGGCCGACCGCACTGAGGTACAACGCGCTCAGCAGGGGCTGGGAAACCACGATAGGACTGAGTTCTTCTGGTAATAGCGGAATTGAGAACTGAATTGAGTTCTTCTGGTAATAGCGGCGCTAATCGTTTCCAACGCATGGCACAATTGTTTTTTTTTTTTTGAGAAGCTACCGCCTCCAGTATGCTTTAAAATGTAGGTTTTATACGATATAATGTCATTTGTTCTAATATCTAATTATAAAATATAAATAACAACAACAACTACAAAATATAAGTAGATTTTTCTGCACATGATGCATGTGAATTGCCTGTTATCGTTACTATAATAAAGTATAGCTATATGAGCGTTTTTTGGGCCGTTAGCACTGCCACCGATTCTGAATATCGCACAAAATTCGCAGCTTATTGCAGGTCTCAAACCCACTTCTCACCGCTGCAATTTTGCTGTGCTTAAGGGTGCGGAAAGTCATTTCCACTTCGAATGTCTGGCTAAAAATTGGAAGAATTATCAATTTTTATTTTTAATTATCAATTTTACCAAAAGTATCCAATGAAAATATATTTACAGATTTTAGAGGTACTTTTAGATTTTAAATTAGAAAGACTTTAGTCAAATTTAGTCAAATAAGGACGAAAAATTGAACGAAATTTCCACTAATTTTGAAGTAAAAAATACTTGCCGCTAATACTATCGGCCAATACTTTCTCAGTATATAAGAACCTTAACCACCCGGCTACCTATCAGATTTAACCAGAACTCTCGCAAGAAGCTGGAATCGAACCCTTAGCTCACTCTTTCAATCCCAGCATTCTGAACTATATATATAACCACTAGAGCACCCTGCCTAACTTCCTTTCAAACTAACCTCTGAGGTGCCGTGATTGCTCAAAGAGCTGAGAAGAGTTAACCACGTTTCCAGACAATGCTCCATGATTAATCACTTAATCACGGATGAAAGCCAAAGATTGAAATTAAATTAACGTAAATGTTGAAAAAGAGTGAGAATGTATAATAAAAGGAAAGAACATAAAAACGTGACTCTATACATACATGCATTCACTCGTACTCATCAGTCATTCTTTTTATGAGAGCTTGAAGTTTCCAGTCTTTAAAATTTTGTTTAGTCTAGTCGTCAAATTATTGACAATAGCTTGTGTTTTGAATAGCCCCTTTACCGTAGATTAAAATCTCGTGGAAATCTCCCTGTTTAAGTTATTAAGAAAGCAAATTCAATTTATGTTTCATAACATACAGTGCGCAATCAATAACATCAGTATCGAAGAACAATAAATGAAAATTAACTGGAAATTCAGTTTCTCAGTAGATTTTGACAAATATTATACGCAGACATATTTCATGTTTCAGCTCTTCTTACCTACTCCATAGATGAAGAACAGTCCGAAAAAATCCTTTGGAGCAAAAGCACGGGATTCACTCAAGCTGGTCTGGCGCCTAGTGCACCACGAAGAGTTCCTCAAACCTGCTTCAATGAGATGAGTTGCCACACCAGACTGGATCACTCGAAGAAGCCTGGATGAAACATTACAGAAAAAGGAAAGTTATCACTGTTCAAACACACAGGACTATGTATACATCGCTGAGGCTAAAAAGTTGAAAATTTCCATTTTTATGAGGTGAGAACTTATTTTATCACACTTAGACCAAATCTTTAGTACATTTGGTCCACTGCATCCTGGAGTGGCGAGTTCTTGGGGTATCCATACGTCATGTAATTGGGCTCCAAACCCGTCGGGACCAAAGCCAAACGGCAATCGCCTAACTGTGAATAGAAACAGGTTCAACGGCAGGTTTTTCCCAATTCATAAATTTATCTTTTGATGTTGACCATGAAATTTCGTCACTTCAGTACAGTTGGTAGGGTAGTTGTTGATAGAAAAATTATCAAGCTAAATGATGTGGAGATCTTATGTCAAAATGCTATTACGTGTCGAGAAATTACTTCTAGGATAAGTAATAGAAATTATGAACTGTATCCTAAGCAGATAAGTTTCAGTAAATACGACGCATTCCAGGAGCAAGACACGTAAACGAGGAATGGCTCCTGTGCCTACCTTCGAAAAGTCGGCCGCCATGTGGCCCTTTAGCAGCATGTCCTGTGCAACAACTGTGAGGGAAATTTGGAATTTAACGCTAATTGTCGTGAAATCAGAATATTTCAAAATTGTATCAATCCGGTATAGCGGTAATTTACCCGCCTGTTTCTAAAATTTTCAGACAAGATTCAGAACAGTACGTACAATTTTTAAATTATCTTTAAATTTTATCCGGAAAGAGAAAATTAATTTGTCCGCATCAAGGTCCCCTATATGGATGAATTAGCTACCTTTTCAAACGCGTACCGGTGATACCCGAAATCATTTGGTAGGTATTAGCTACTGTCAGAGCTGGGCAGCGCTACTTGGAAATGTAGCGGCGCTACCGCTACCGCTACATGCTCTAAATGTAGCGTGTTAAATTGAACATAAATAGGTCTAAAGACGCGTGCTGGTACCTTGAATGCAAATAATTGGCAATGGCAAAGCTTGGGCTACAATATCAAGACTTTTTGGGCATATTTTGCTGTTTTCAATGTATTTTACTTTATATGGCTCCCCTGAACAATTTAAAAATCCAAAAAACGCCATCTTAAAAAATTATAACTCCAACTGTTTTCAAGCTACGGCAATGAGAGACATACCATTCGATTTGTAAAAACAATACCTAGCGACTCTAGAAGCCTTTTTTAATATGTGCATGGTTTGACTTATATATGGGAGGGGGAGGAAGGTGGGGGGTAAAAATGTGAAAAAAATGGGAAGAACGCGAAAAAAAAACGATGAGTAAAATAAAAAATCGGGGCTCTACATTCCCTAGATATTGTTGTTACAAATCGAATGATATGTGTATCGACATCGTAGCATGTGATTTGCCAAAGTTATCAACTTTTTTGAAGTACCCCTTATATGCCGTTTTCTATTAATTCCACGTTTTCTTTCATTTTTTTAAATTTACATGAACAAAAAGGTCTTAGATTTCTGCTTTACATATGTGTACCAAGTTTCAAAACGATCCGTCTGTAAACAAAAAGTTTTGTTGGAGGGTAGCCGGCCCCCTTAAGTAAAATCTGAAGGCTTTATCTATAAATGTAGCGGTAGCGCTGTAGCGGCAAAACCTCGTATCGCTACTTAAATATGTAGCGGGCGCTACCGCTACCGCTACATTGCCTTAAATGTAGAGCCGCTACCGCTACCGCTACTGAAAATGTAGCGGCCGCTAGTAGCGGCCGCTACATGTAGCACGCTACTGCCCACCTCTGGCTACTGTTTATTTCACTATCTTAACATGCGATTTTTTATATTAGTGCACACTGTGGCTCCCAATCGAATCTAGAATAATCGAGATAATTTACCTGCGAGTTTTTCGCGGAGAACAAGTTCAACGACTCCGTCAGGATCTGCCTGGATGCCGCTCCTCTTCGCCCAGAGTCGAGCGCGGGAAGAATTCGGGTTGGTTATTGATGCTTGCTGCACATCAACCAAGGCTTGACTAAATGTTCAATAAACTCGTATATGTATATGTTCAATATTAAAATATCATGTGATCTAGACTGGCAGCTCCAGACACGTTTAAATAAAGATTTCATGTTTCATTGAACTTTCAGTATCATTTGAGATAAATCACAATAGCACCGGCCAATATCATTTTTTATCAAAGAATAAGTGACCCAGAAAAAAAGAGAATCTCAAAAAATTCTTACTCCTTCTACTAACCTTGCTAACTGCAGCGATATTTGGCTGATTTCACGAATACAAATTTATCTATTTCTTAGGTGGTAAATTTATAGAAGCATTTGAGATTTACCCATAGAACAATAAAAATTGAACTTGAAAATTGAATTACGTACTTGATAAGAATCGCCGTAAACCGTGCCGTTGATCCATGATAACTTGAACTCCTCTTGGTTTAGAAATTCCGAGAGAGAGTTGAACGGAACCTTAATCTGGAGAAAATGCGAGGTGCGTTAATATCAATATGAGCTGATGAATAAATTAGAAAAAAAACACATACTGATCTGTTATGGCCATTCACTGCTTGTTTAGGTCTTTCTTGAGCAAATAAATTTTATACAAATGTATAGGACAGTTACCTTTTCGTTGACGAGGATGGCTTGGAGGTTACATCGGTAAAATGAAGCGATCATGAAGCAAATGAAGAGCCAGAAAGTACCAAGTATTCGACCCGAACCTTTACTAGGCGTGTCTGCCAGATCTGCGAAAAATATTGCGATGAAAGTAAATTGCAGACTGAACCCTTTTAGCGGCGTAACCTGGCTATTTACCTCTAATACATTCATGCTAACTAAGCCTCAATTTTTTAAAATATTTCTTTATTAAATAACGAGGAAATAACAACCTTGACTCAGGAATATTTTCAGCGCCCAGGTGTAGCCACGGGTTCCCATTTCATACTTGGAGTGTCGACCTCGTCGTGGCGAATCACGGGTGCCAGTTCTGCGCATTGGTGGTACAGAATGTTTATCTTTTGGATATGAACAAATTTACTGCTGTATCTTTCTAATTAAAATTCAGCGTAAGGAAAAATAAGTTTGTCATTTTTTAAGCTCTTCTCAGATCATGCATTTTAAGCATTATATTAATAATTTTCTGGCGTAAAATCATGCAGATTTGTCCTAAGATTCAGATTTGCAGACTTTCAATGCAAATTTGTCCTAAGTATTTGATGTTATATAGTATAATTTATAGAGCAAACCGACATTCATTTGCTTCAAATGAGTTCAGTCTATTTTCTCATTTACATACTTCAAGTAGGAGTGCACCAGATGTAGTAAACTCGTCAAAGCTCCAACCAAAAGAAGTGACGCTAGCACGCAAGCCCAAACCTGAGGATGAATTGTGCAACATCAACTGATATAGCTTAGAACTGAATTAACAAATTTAACGTATTCGAAACTAACTAAGCTACTACTACTACTAAATAATCAACGTAAGCATCTAGAATTTACTTTTTACGTTGTTTTGAATAGAAAGTTACATCTTACTTGTTGCCAATGACGTAAAACCCCTGATTTGGGGGGCGCAAAGCCCCCCGGTTTTACCCCGCGCCTCTACGCGTATTGTGCTTTGCACGAGCTGTCATTATTCTACTCACAGTACGTGCGATTGTAGAGCGAGGTAAAGTTTTCACTCTCGCAATCCCACAGCCCAAACCTCTGCTCCAATCTCGCTGGAAGTTTTGTGATTTATTTGTGCGAAGTTGGGCAAGGTTCCTGCGTGCAGGTCTAGGTAGGTTGATTTCAGATGGGTGAATCTGTGGTGCGGGCATGTTTAAAATTTTATTGTGAGGGAGGGTTGCAAGATAGTTTTCTGTAATTGTAGTGTGGATTGTTTTAAGATTTTGTTTGATTGTGTCCTGTGTAGCCTGTGCAGGCGGAGTATCTATGTTGGTGGTGAAACCTGTGTTGTGGAAAATGGTTTGTTTCATGAGACGTTTGGGTGCGGCTGAAGGGTGAGGGTATGTAGTGGGTGGGTTGGGTTTTGTGCTTTCTGTCTGAGTTGTGAGGCGTGAAGTTTGAGGTGGTGTGTTAGGGGTAGAAGTTTGGTTTCTTGGTGAAGGTGGTGGATGTTGGTGTCTGCGGTACAGCCTGTGGCTATCCTGAGTGCTGCATTCTGGACTGTTTGGAGTTTGTTCATTTGCGTGGGTGATACGTATAATTGGTGACCAGGATGAGTTTGCGTATTCAAGGATTGGACGCGTGATTGTTTGAAATGTGGTTGTGAGTAGTTCTTTTTGTTTTCCCCATTGTGTGGCTGTAAGTGATTTGATTATTTTGATGGTATTATTGGCTTTGTCGTGAGTATTGCTAATGTGAGTGCTGAAGGTGAGCTTTGGGTCAAAGGTAAGTCCAAGTATTTTACGGTTGCGTACTGTTGGAATGAGTGTATTATTGATATTGAGGTTGAGTTGGTTGCTATATTCAGCCGGGTCAGGTGTGAAAAGAGTGGCAGTGCTTTTTGTTGCATTGAGTTGTAGTTGGTTTTCTGTGGTCCATGTGTGCACGGTTTGTAGGTATGGAAGAAGGACTTGTGCAGCAGTGTTATAGTCTTTGTGGGAGGATAAGATAGTTATATCATCTGCATATGTAATTATTTTAATATTGGGTGGAGGTGAGGGTATATCTGAAACGTATATGTTGAACAGTGTGGTGATTAGGAATAGGAATAAATTATAAACAAGAATAGGAAACTAGGACTTAGGGGAAAACACATGTCGTCAGTAAAATTCAAGCGACGCCAATCGAGTGCGGGTCTACGCGTAATCGGGGCTATATAAGGAGAGCGCGGCAGCCGCGGCTCAGCGGCGGCTGATGCGAGTCAGTGGAGTGCGGGAGCTCGTGGAATCCGCATGTCGTTTGGTAGCGCGACCGAAAACTGAGTGTGCCGGTGTACAATCGTACGAGGATTCACGGGACAGTGAATGTTGTTAGTGAAATAAGAATTGTGGTATTCGTTATCTTGGGACAATACAAACCCACAGTCACGACGTCTCTTCCAATAAGATCAGCCAGCCGCATACGAAATATCGCCGAGAAGAAACACCTCACGACGAAGAAATCGTTGAACTGACTCGGGAGATTTCCCCGACGGGTCCTCATCGAACAAAGGGAGCTTCGACTAAATTCGCTGCCGAGATAGTTATCTTGAAGCCGACTTATGCACTACAGAGAAGGATTATCCGATCTGCGAGAGATTACCCAGAGTAGCCTGCAATCCTGCATGGTCTTCCTCAAATCCCAGCGAGGTGAACCACCACGGTCGGGCCGTCAGCAGCTACATTACAGCAACAAGAAATTTCGCCGGTCGTCATCGAGGGACACGGCTGGAGCACTTCATAGGGCTCATACTGTTAAGGCCCGTTTCCACTACGGGACTGATTCTGAAGGATTGAGACTGGCCTGAGACCAATAAGCCACATGGCTGGACTTGAAAACTGGCGTGCGCGTTTCCACTACGTACGTGTGCTGGGACTGAGACTGACCGTCTGGGCTACCGAACTCGCTGGCCTTTGAAGATAAATTATGCTGCCGCTCTTGCTTTTACTAGCTGTTGTCACTATGCGCAGGAGGAAACAAAGATCTCTTTACCTAATAGCAGTTATGAAACCCAAGAATGGTTTTAAACTTCTCATTAACATAGTTTATCCGTGTAATAACATGCATTCACCAAGGGATTTAGAAACAGCATTATCTTATTATACCTTTAATGTGTCAAGAAAATTAAATGTAATAAATACGTCACAATGATTAACCATGTCTGGTTTTTGGTCTATAGATTTAGATAGGTATCATAGCGTGCTTCACAAATGCTACTACTATTATTGGTTAATGTGTTTATTTACTATTTACTGAGTATACATACACTGCAAGTACAATAAGATAATTAAGATTTAATTGACGGACGAGTGAATCTATGTCAATAAACAGATAAAATCGGTCAATGAAAGGTTAGAAAGTATTTCCATTTTTCGATATTCGTGGATGGATATAATTTCTCCATTTATTTACTTATTTTCTCTAATTCTCAAGATTCTGTCTTTGTAAAAAAAGCTTTTTACTTGCCAGAAGCAAGGTGCCTCTCTATATAAATCGATAAGCCTTTCAGTGACATCTCTGCTCCAGTCTCCGTCGTGCGACATTGCAAAGCTAAGTAAATGAACAGTAATTGTGTGTAAATAGGGTAGGAGCGACAGTCACGCACAACCTACTCAGACGGCAGTCAAAGCGACACTCCGGAGATGAGCGGCAGCCTCAGCGGCTTGAGCGGCTCAAAAGAATGAACACTGCTTCATTCGCCGATGAGCCCGTGTCGATGGTCCGGACAGCCTCAGTCTGGGCTGAAAAAGCCAGTTTTTCAGTCGTCAGTCGCGCAGAGTCTCATAGTGGAAACGGGCCTTTAGTCAGCGCCATCAGATCCGCCTTGGACTCATCTCCAAAATCCCCGGTGATGTACATCTGTGAAAAATTGAGATACTAGCTTGCCCGTGTAGACACCTTGGTTTAGCCTCGCTGATTTAGTCTCGATTAGTCATTCTGGGCCGTAGTAGTTGTCTAGCTCTGTTGTCTCCGGCCAGATCGGTATAGGATAGGATTTTCTTCTGCAAGTAAGCCTGTGCACTCGTTATTCTCACCGTTCCTAGCTCTGTAACTAGGCGTAGGGTATTTTTTTTTCTTAGTATATGAAGTTGATTAATGTTTGTGTCATTCTCCTTGTTAAATCGCATTGCCAGCAGTAGAGAACCTTCAACGCGCCTCGTTTGACCACTCGGACAATGCAAAGTACAACCAACCTGACAGTTTAAAATGTTTTATGAAAAAGAAACTCTGCCGAGGATAAACAGAAATTGATAACTTGCCGTAGGCTTTAAAGCGTACAGTCCGAGAAATAGCGAGAGCCAATATCGAACTCAAATCAAAGTTCAACACATAAATTATATGCAATTAGGAATAAAAGGATTACAAATTAATCAGTGGGTGATAGGACTCCGCCTTGTGGTACACCTGTTTTGAATAATTTCTGTTTTGAATTGGTGTTGTTGACTTTTGTGAAGCCTTTTCTGCCTTTGATGTAATTTGCTATGTATTTAAGTGTAGTGTGCTCTATTGCGTTTGTGGAAAGTTTGTTGATGAGTGTGTGCAGATTAACCGTATCAAATGCTTTGCTCATGTCTAATGCAACAGCTATTGTTCGAAGTGGCGGGCGTTTTTGATTGAAACCTGTGGCTATGTGTTCTGTGATATGTTGGAGTGCTGTGATGGTAGAATGGTGTTGTTTGAAGCCATGTTGGTGTTCAATGTTAGGGAGATGAGATGAGATTTTGGCAAGGATAATTTTTTCCAGTGTTTTGGCTATTGGACTTAAAAGAGAAATTGGTCGACAAGATGACCCCATGTTAGTGTCTTTGCCAGGTTTAGGTATTGGAATTATCTTGGCTAGCTTCCAGGTATGGGGTATTGTATTGGAGTTTATTGCGATATTGTAAATTTGAGTGAGGTATGTAATTGCTGTGGGGCCCAGGTGTTTGAGATGGAGTATATTGATGTGATCTGGTCCAGTTGATTTGTTATTTTTACTGTTTTTTATGGCGAGTGTGGTCATGGCTGTTGTTATATTTATTGGGTTGCCCTTTAGAGATTTAATTCTTCTATCTGTTATCCTGTTATTGTGTGAGGTTTGCATTATTGTGCTCGCCATGTCCGTCTGTCTGTCTGTCCGTCCGTCCGTGACCTCAAGTTTTCGTCAACGAGAAAATGCGCTCTCTGTCATTCGCCAACGAGAAAATGCGCTCTCTGTCATTCACTGCTGTGAGTACTGAGTTATATTTTTTTTAGATTTGTGCATAGTTTGGATTCAAAATAGAGGGAAGGGGGGGAATTTGAAGAAAATGAGAAGAAAACGGAAAAATGCGTTTAAAAAAACTAAGGCGAAAATCGGGCTTCGTTACTCGATTGATATGGTCTTTACGAATCGAATGGTGCATGTCTCATCGCTGTAGCTTCGAAACTCTAAGAGGAGATAGATTTTTGAAGTACCCCCTTTTGTCCGTTTTCTATGAATTTCACGTTTTCTATTAATTTTTCCGAAAAAATGATACGAACAAAATGTTTTTGTTTTTTGGTTTTACAAATATGTGTGAAATTTCAGAAAGATCCGTTAGTAAATGTGGAAGTTTTTTCTGGAGGCTAGACCCCCCCGTAATGTTAAGAGTTTAGAGTTTAGACAACCAAGAGAAGGCCAAGATGCAGGTAGGGCTCCGGGATGCAGGTAAGGCCTCGGTATGCAGATAAGGCTTCGGGATGCAGGTAAGG